CAAATGACTTAGATAGGTGGAGAGAGGAGACTTCAGTGGTGCAGTAGCTGTGGGCTGGGAATGGGCTCGGCACACTTGGGGAGCAGTGAGGAGGTCAGTGTGGATAGGGTAAAAGAGAGTGAGTGGAAGGAAAGGAATCTAGGGACCACAGAGGGCCTTGTTGCTGGTATAAGGACTTCAGCTTCTACGGAGGTAGAACTTTTCAGTAGAGATAGCCTGTTCTGACTTTTAGAGACAGGATCTCACTATATAGCCCTCGTTGACCTAGAACTCACTCTGTAGACCACCAGCTTGGCTTTGACCTTCCTTTTTAAGATTATTCTGACTGCTATATGGAAACTGGCTGGTTAGAAAGTAAGGCTAAAAGCAGGCAGGTTGACAGACACTGATAATCCACATGAAAGGCCACTGGGGCTTACACTAGGGTGACAGCTGTAGAGATGATGAGAAAGGAGCTGATGCGGGTGTGTTCTGAAGGTGGAGTTGACTGACTCTTTTGAGAGATTGGATGTAAGGTAGGAAAGGGACTGATAAAGCTGACATCAAGAGTTTTGGACTGTAACTGAAGGGGTGAAACACTAGAGAAGCAGTTAAGGTTTTAGGTTTAGCTTGGCCTTTAATCCCAGAACTCAGAAGGCAGAGGCAGGAGGACCCCTGGGAGTTCGAGGTCAGTCTGGTGTACAGATCGGTTTTCAGGACAGCCAGGGATACACAGAGAAACCCTGTCTTGGGGAGGTGGGGGGCGGGGTTAATTTGTATTGCTGTCTATGAAGATGGGAAGGAGAGCTGGACAAGGTTAAGTTTGAGAGAGGGGCTAAGCATAGGAATTGAGGTACCTCACGCATACTGAGTAGACTATGAAATAGGCATTTGATACACGTCAGGGTTCAGGAGAGAAGCTAAAGTAAAAGATAGAAATATGGGAGGTATCTGTGTATCGATACTCTTCATGTCTGAGATCGCCTAGAGGTAAACTAGTGGAGATAAATTTGCTATCAGAGGGTTTGCCAATAGTCACAGCACTTGGAAAGCAGAACTAAGAGGCTAGCCTGATCTACATCATGCCCAGGCCAGCCAGGGCAAATAGTGAAACTGTCTGGAAATACAGAAGCTAAAGTAAAAATGCTGGCAGGTTATTATAAGGGATCTGGAAGTGTTGTTCTTCTCCTTCCCCTCCCAGGCTGAGCCAGGCTGTGGGCTCATTTATTTTCCCAGGACTCTCAAGCCCACAGTATCCAGGAAGGTGCCAAACTTAAACCAAACCATGGACTTGTCACCTTTCAGCTGCTCCTAGCCGTGGTTGTTAGAATTTGGGAATGTAGGTCTAAAAAGCATTTTCTCTACTCTCTACAATATTTATTGAAGAAAACTTTAATTTGGTTGCTGAGACAGTGATAAGACCCTGGGAGTTACTTAAATAAGAGACAATATTTGGCCAGGTGGTGGTGGCATAGGCCTTTAATCCCAGCACTTGGGAGGCAGAGGCAGGTGGATCTCTGTGAGTCCGAGACCAGCCTGGTCTACAAGAGTTCCGGGACAGCCTCCAAAGCCATAGAGAAACCCTGTCTCAACACACACACACCCCAAAACAAAGAAACAATATTTGTAGTTGGTGGTGAAGTCCATGGTAGAGCACTTGGCTGGTATGCACAAGGTTGTGGGCTCAGTCCCCAGCACTAGGTGTAAGGAGAGCTGTTAGGTATTGTTGGGTGTCTGTAATGTGTTAGACTTAGAACTTACCCTCATAGCATTCCTTCAAAGTAATACTGTGTGAACAAGTCCTTTGTCCCAGTGACAGGGTGACTCAAGTGGCAGAGCTGGAATTGTCTTATTCTAAGATTGCTGTTCTGACCACCATACTGTGAGGCTTCCTGTTATGTTCATGGGAGAGAGGCCATGCTCTTCTCAAGAGATACTTCTTTTCCATCATGTACATGCAGATTTCAACCCTGCCTCTATAATCTGGGACAAGTGCTTCCAACTTCTCCATGCCATGGATACTGTTTCATTGAATCATTACAGCTATGTGACATGGGTGCTATTCTTATCTGTTTTCCATTTGTAGCAGCTAGACTTCAGTGACGTGAGATGACTTGCCAAGGCTAGAGAAAAGTAACTAGAACTCAGGGCTAGGTCTGTGTGACACATGTTGGGTCACACAGGCAAACAGGCTTTCAGGATGCTGGCTAGAAAGCCTGCAGGAGCAGGAGCCATACTTTTCTTTGGTGCTCCCTCCCTCTTCCTGCAGTAGTCTCCCAACTCTGGGTTTATGCTGTTATCTCTGGTGACATGGTCGTGCTTAGGGGTGTCTAACTTCAGGACCACCCCCTGTGAAAAAAAGAAAGTTCCCTTTGCAAAGCCATGAAATGTTGGTTTACCTTAGAACACTTTCTGGCACATTCCCATCCTTCTCACAGCACTTGTCCTTCCTTTGTGTGAGTGTGAGGAAAAGCCATGTTAGGAAACGTATTTTCTCCTCCTTTGACCATGCTTCCTCCAGAAGCCCCTCTACAGTTCATGTAGCTAAGATGGTTATTACCCTTTAGGGGTGAGAGAGGCCATCATTTCCATTGCCAGCACATCAGTGGGACTGCCGTAGGGGAAGGGTCAAGATTGAATCACAGTGGGTCTCCAGTCTACATTCTGGCAGCCATCAAGTTATCTCTTTGACTCCGCCATTACCTTTCTCTATCCCTGTTTGGATTTCCCACCTAGCTAAATCATACCTGTTCATTGGCTAAAACAGCATTAACCATGAGCAATAAAAGAAGCATATATTCACAGCATACAGAAGGACATTAACCATCACAGAGCAGAGAAGAGTAGACTTGTTTTTTAAACAGAAGCATTGGGTTAAAAAGCACATGTGCTAGGCCGGTTTAATCCCAACACTTGGGATGCAGAGGCAGGCGGATCTCTGTGAGTTCGAGGCCAGCCTGGTCTACAAGAGCTAGTTCCAGGACAGCCTCCAAAGCCACAGAGAAACCCTGTCTCAGAAAAAAAAAAAAAACCAAAAAAAAAAAAAAAACCCCAAAAAAAGCACATGTGCTGCTGGAGTTCAGTTCCTAGAGCTCACACTGTGTGCCTCACACTCACCTGTAACTAACTTCAGCTCCAGGGGAGTCTTCTGGGTAGAGTGTGTGTGTGTGTGTGTGTGTGTGTGTGTGTGTGTGTGTGTGTGTGTGTGTGTGTAAACATGGTAGCATGTCTATGTTGTACACATCAGCACAATTTCAACACGGTTTAAATATGTTAAAATCTACAAATCTCTCTCTCTCTTGATTTTACTGCCTTTTATAGCCTAGCTGGTCTGGAGCTTACTATGTACACCTTCCCAAATCTGCTCCTGCAGTGCTGGGCTTATAGGCATGTGTATCTTTGCTCAGGTTTCTTTTTGCAGGGTTTTGGTTTTGGTTTTTTGAGACAGGGTTTCTCTGCATAGTCGTGGCTGTCCTGGAACTCCCTCTGTAGACCAGGCTGGCCTTGAACTCAGAAATCTGGCTGGTACACTGTCACTGCACAGATTTTTGCAGGGTCTTATGCTATCCTGCCTGACCTTGAACTCATGTTCTTCCTGCTCCCGCTTTCCAAGTGCTAGGATTGGAAAGTGAGATACACTCGGCTGTGTCTCACTTATTGGTTACCTGCTGTGGTTTAGATATTAAAGGAGATAGACACATGTATATTGAAACTTTACATTTCCGCTTTAGGAAAAGAAGAAAAAGAAACACAGAGACAAGAAGTCATCTGACTGTGACAGCTCTGACTCTGAGAGTGATATGGGCAAGAAGGCAAGGCATGCATCAAAAGACAGCAAGGCTACAAAGAAGAAGAAGAAGAAGAAGAAGCACAAGAAGCATAAGGAGTGAGGGTGGGATGGGCCATGACAGCCCTGGCTCCTGGAAAGACTCAGTAGTGAGAAGATGGCCTCCTATCCCACTGACTGTGTCCCTCTGGTCTCAGATGGCTTCTCGTGCAACAAGCAGCTAGAAAAGCTAAAGTGCTGCTCCCAAAATGATTTTTCCTTATTGCTTCTCATCCCTTTGCAAGTGACCCCCGCAGCCATTGCATTCATGTACACGAGTCCCTCATTCAGCAGAAGGTTCTAGTACTTTCCCCGGCTGCTACTGCCAGAGCTAGATTCCTTATAGGGGTCCAGGCTAGAGCCACAGGTGCTACCGTGGAAGTGAGCCTGGCTGTGGCGGGAGAGCAAAGTGAGCAGCCCCTGCCTGCCTGTTTCTGTGGCCTCTATTAGAGGCAGGCGGGAGAAGTGTTCTGTCTCCATTCCCTCAAGTGAAGGCTGTGCGGACAATAGTCTTTGCAGTGACTGCTGAACCAGAGATCTGAAGCCAAGGTCATTTTCTGCTTTCTGTCTGTCGCCATGTGAGTGACTAGTTCCATTTCAGGTCTCTGCTTAAATTCCTGGCATAAATGGAAATGTGTTTGGTTTTAAACTTTCCAGAAGGCCTTATTCCTATAATCCTTCCTGGGTAACTTACAGACTTAACACATTAGTTCACAGAAAACACTTTAGCATGTTATCCAAAACCCTGAAAAGAAGCCAAGCTGAGGCACAAATCCAAGGCCACTAGCAAGCCACAGCTTTCTTGAGATCACTTAAAAGCCCTCTCTTCCATAGTTTCGCCCTCTTCCCCTGGGCTGAGTAGAAAACTAGTAAGATGTAACCTTGGGGGCTCACTGGGGCATGAATGGGAAGTTAGCAGTCACCTCCCACCACATGGGTCCCTGGACCCTGTCCTGAGCCTGTACTCCAGGAGGGTGACCACAGCACACCATAGAGCCAATCCAGGAGTGGGTGTGAAGTAGTCACTCGAGGCAGCTAGCTCATCCAACCATGGCATTGCACAGGGCTGCTGTGCCCTCACTGCTGGCGGAGACTGTCCACCTGGGCTCCTTACCAGCGCTGTTCACCGAGTGGACCTCGGGCTATCATTTCAGCCTAGGACACACAGGAAAGGAAGACCAAAGGCAAAAGCAACTGGGTGGCCTTGGTTCTGCTTTATTGACCTCAGAGCACCCTTTGGATACAGTTTTAAAAAACAAACCACATACACAATGGGAACTGGGATCCAGGCTGGTGCCCCAATCTCCAGAAAAATCCCAACCGAAGTGTATTTATACAAAACACCAGAGGAAAAAAATGAGGCAACATGGTGCTGAGTCGAGGGGTAGCCAGCTGGCAGAGGAATAGTCAGCGCGGTGCAGAGGTGTCACGCCTCCTTCTCGTATGTTCGGGTGCTCACCACATTGCCATGGGTGAGTGTCTGCAAGGAAAGACAGGGTCAGATGGGGGCAGAGCAAGAGAGGGAGTGTCAGCACTTGAATACCTGTTGCCAGGAACCTGACTTTTTTTTTTTTCTGATACAGATCTTTTAAGATAGGTGTTATAATTCCCATTTTAAAGATTTTTGGGAAAATGGACCCTTGAAAGAAGAAACCTACCAACCTTTTTTCCCTCCCATAATCACCCATCATTGTGACACAGGAGGGTATGGTCCTGTTTGTTACCTCCCTACCAAAGCTAGGCACCTCACTCCTAACTCAGTGGGTACTCCAGGCTCATGGGACTATGATGCAATAGCAGGTTCCACTGAGCCCAATAGGTCTGTGGTGCTGATATTGCTCTCCATGCTTCTGGTGCAGGTGCCGTCCTACAAGACTACATTCTCCTGGTGAGGTTCTCAAACTTGTCCCAAAGCAGATCTGCAGGCCTGGTTGTATCCCCTGTCTAGGCCATAGTTATTTGCAGGAAGCCAGAAACAGACAAGTGGGTGAATAAGAGGCAAAGCCTGTTCCTGCAGATGTCTGCATGAGTGGCAGCTGCTCCTAGAGAGTCTGGGACTAATTGGCCCTGCCTTGTCCTTGGGGAGCAGCGGGCAAGAAGTTTTTGTGGGCACCTGCTACATTCTTCCCACTCCGATGGTGCCTTTGGCTATGTCTTCCCAGCAGCTCTCAAGGTTACAAAGGGGACGTGTCCAGAGCCAGGCAGCCTTTAGGCTGAGACTTGAACCAAGACGTGTGTGAATCCCAAGCCCTGCTTCTTCTCTGTCCTAGTTCCTCTGGCTCCCAGGGGAGGACCTGGGCTGAAGAAAGCATGGCACTTGCTGTGAGGCACTGCCACTGCCCATCTTACCAGGATGAGTTTCCCATCGCATAGCTCCCTTGTCAGCGTAGTCTCCTGGCCATCCCACTTCTGCACATGGACAAGTTTGCCTCCATCCAGTGTCACGATCGACTGTGGAAAGAGAGAGCCTAAGCTGTGACCAGAGCCAGAATTGAAGGGCAAGACCCACCAGGAGTCTAACTGGTGCTAGTGCTAGGATGGCCGTTCAGGCAGCCTACCTCTAACACGGTTTGCACAGGGCTCCTGCTCTGTGGCCGCCTACAGGGGGAGGGTTCAGGCAGTGGGTGCAACAGGCAGCTCAGCCCTTGGCACAAGCCTCCAAGAGAAGCTCAGGCTGAGATGTACTTCAGTAGAGCATATAGTCCTGGGTCCCCTCAAGTCCATCCCTTTCTCCGAGACAACCAAAGAAGTCCGGAAGATCTATCTTGTGCATATCAGTCTCTAAAAGACCCTTGGGATATATTGGAAAATTAGACTTCCTTTGTATCAAGTGATCCCCTGGACAGGCAAAAGAGCAGCAATTGCAAGGTCCCAGGACCAGGTGTCCTTGGAGTGTTCTTCAGCTCTGGCTCCAGTGCCCCTTTGGTCCTCAGCACTGCCAGCCTATATCAGCTGTTTTGTGTTTGGCAGCTTCCCCAGATCGCTCTTCTCCAGGAATTTGAGAACTGAAGGCCAGAACTAGGGAACTAAGCAGGGTTTGTTGAGTAGGAGTCTAGAAAGGTGATGGTTGTGTTTGATCACTCTTGTCTTGTTCTGTCTTATTCCACCTTATGGAATCTTCATTCCCCATTGTCTTTTGTCAACTCAGCAGTTAATTTCTGGCTCAAACATCCCAGAGGTCCACTGTTGTATTTAATGTGGGTTCTGGTCCCACAAAAAGGTAACAAGTTCAAGGATATAGTTAAATTCCTTCATCCTATCTAGATTGTCATCTCAGGGCACCATCCCTGTGCCACTGCTAGCCTAATGTGTGGTCCTGAGCTCCTCTGCATCTGCAAGACCAGTACCTGCCCTGTCCTTTATGGAGGCAGATGTGCAGAGAAAAGAACTGAAGAGATCAATTTTAGGGTTACAATGCAGGGGATATAGGAATAACCTATAGATATAGATGTCAGCAACCCTAAGTTCTGTGCCTGATCCAGTGCTGGGAGGTTTTAGCAAGCTGCCAAGATAACCACCATGAGGTAATAGCAACACTGGTGGTAGGTGCTCCCTCCCATACCCTGAGATACTTGGAGACTACAAACACCCACAACATTCATGTTGGTGAATGCATATCCTAGAGCCTGGCTCTCTGGCTGTCAACTGGTGACCCTGGAAACAGTTTGTCAGGGTCAATGCCCTAGCCTGGGAGCTGCAGAAAAGGAAACCTGTAAATAGGACTCAACATTTTGTTCCCAACTCCTCCTTTGCTGACAGAGCCTGAATGACCTTAATCCAGGGCACTGACTTGTGGGCATCATTCCTAAAGCATTTCAGGTCACAGCCCTGACTGCTGAAGTTCTCAGAGCTATTGCATATCTTGGTGCACAAGGTCACCCAGCTGGCACTGGAGACACAAGGTCAGAACATCTTGGCTCTGCTGCCCACTCCAGTGGCAGCTGACAGATCCTTCCCAGCAAGGTGAGGAGAAAACAGGTCAGAGGTTGCACTTGGCCCATGGGGCATCCCAGCACTGAGCAGGCTTAATGAACCTTGTTGGTTTAAATCTATGACAGCCTGCCCCTTTAGGTACAGAGCCAAGGTGCTAAGCCAGGGCCAGCTTCTTACCCTCCATCCCCTTATCCACTTCTCTGACTCACCTTGACCTTCCTGTCGTCTGCCGTTACCTCATCAAACTGCACTCCCAGCTGGAAGCTGATCTCTGTGTTCTTGAAGGTGCTGTGTGTCTTTATGACTATATTATCCCCGTTCTTCTCGATGATCGTGGTAGGCTTGGTCATGCTAGCCACCTGTCTGGTGGCAAAGCCCACACCTAAAGGCAGAGGCAGATGACTGAAAATTAGCAGGGGTAAAGAGGCGTTGTACAACCATGGGGAAGGAGGACCATAGTGGCCAGTGTCTTTGTGTGGTTATTTTCTCATTCAGTCTTTTCCTTAGCTCTGCAGCTGTTAGGCTGATGTGAAACACGAGGAATGTCTGATGTCAGGGAAGGTCAACAACAACGGAAATCAGAGTGAGGTATCAAGGGGTATGAACCACCTATAGGGCCCCTTGCTCAGTCCTGTCCCCGCAAGGATTTGTAGATATAAAACCCGGTGATGGAGTTTAAGCCCAGGGTCACAAATGAGATTGAAGATGCTAAGCCCTGTGTCACCTCCAGAGCCTCTGGCCTCCTGAACATTCAGACCACAAAAATGAAGAAAGAAGAAATCGTCAACAGCCTTCTAGAGTCTCCTGGGCATGGATGTCTGCTGTTTTTTACCTAGAAACTGGGGACATTGGTGCTCCACCCTCTGTGTAGCAATGCTACAGCTTCAAGGCCTCCTGGCTAGAAAGCAGTACAAGGGAGTTTTGCCTCCTACAGACTGCGGGATAGAGTGGAAGTCCCTGGGGAGAAGACTTCTGACGTAATCGTCGGATCTGAGTCTTAGGCAAGGTCCTAGGTGTCCACAAGCAGGTGAAGTACACAGACCCAGTAGGCCAAGCCTTCACTTCCTTGGGTTGTAGCTTCCTTGGAATCTTCCATTGTTGACTACCTGTCCCCTGGCCCCAGTACATGCTGAGCTGTCCTCACCAATGAGGCAGGAGCAGCCCAATTGGGGATATAGCATGGCACCTCCGAATATTTGCCTGGCCCTGTGCATTTGCTATGTATGCTGCACAAGCCTGCGTGGATAGCCAACTAATGCTTGAAACAGTCCTGAGCATAGCTTTTATTACTTGCAATTTACAAATGAGGCCAGGAGAGTGCACTGTCTTATCCAAAGTCAAACAAGCTGAGCCTGGTGGCTCCTGCCTAGAATCTCACTCAGGAGGCTGGAGCAGGTGAAATGCCAAGAATTAAAGGCCACCTTGGGCTGCATAGCTCCAGAACATGAGCTACAGTAAGACCCTGTTCCCAAAAGGAAAGAAAAAACTATCAGTGTTTAGTAACCCAGATTCCTAAAGTGTCTTAAAATCACCATCTGTACCTGTAGTCACATACTAGGCTGGGCTGCTTTGGTTCTATACGATAAGGCTTTGCCTACTGGTATCTGAGTGAGTTGGGCCTCAGCAGTGAACCAGCTGTTTATTATTTTTTGGTTTTTCCAGACAGGTTTTTCTGTGGCTTTGGAGGCTGTCTTGGAACTAGCTCTTGTAGGCCAGGCTGGTCTCAAACTCACAGAGATCTGCCTGCTTCTGCCTCCCGAGTGCACCACCACTGCCCAGCTGGGCTTTGGCCTTTCTGTATGTTCAGGCTAAATGGAATCTGTCTCCTAAAAGAAGAAGCTGCTTTGCGACGAGGTGCAGCTTGCAACAGTCAAGTGCTCAGTCTAGTGAAGACCCTGGTTTCTGTCAGAATCCCAAGCACAACAGCCTGGAGATAGCAAGCATTGAGGCAAAAAAAGAAGGTTGGAAAAGCAGTTGCAGCTCCACTTCAAGACTCAGCAGTTTGGCTTGGGAAGGGAGAACTAAACCTGGGAAATCTAGTACTCCCTACCCTATCAAGAATGGCCAACCTGCTGGATACAGGTGCATGCCTCTAACCCCAGTGCTGGGGAGGCAGAGGCAAGAGGACCTGCTACATAGGGAGCTCCCAGGATGGCCAGGGCTACAGAGACCCTGTCTCAAAACAAAAATGAAGCCCAGCTTCTGTCCTAGAGAATGTATGGTTCTCTGTGTAGGTGCTGATGGGAGCTCAGACTGTGGTGGAGGCTCAGAGTCATGGTGTTTGCTTAGCATGTGCAAGACCTTGGGTTCCAATCCCAAAACCAAAATGACAAAAATGCTTTGTGGACCTGTTTCAGTGAAGATCCGGAAGTAGGTGAGAGGAACCTACACATACCCCTCAACATGTCATAAGCCAGCCCTCCTTCCTCGGAAGAAGGAATGGAATCTAGCTCAGTCATGACACAACCCAGTTTTCTGGATCCCATTCTAGTAGAGTAGGATGATACAGCCAAGCACTTCACAGAAAGGACCTTTATCTAAGCCAAGGCAAGAAAGGAAGGGCTAGGGTCACATTCCCCATGTGCACGTCATCTCCCAGGCTATGCTGAAATGGGAAGAACTCTAGATGGTTCTGTGTTTTCAACCACTGAGAAGGCTGGGATAGCAGGTTACAAGTTCGAGGTCAACCTGGGTAAGTTAGTGAGACCTTGTCACACCAAGTAAAAAGGGAGGAAGGTATGACTCAGTGTTCAAGTGCCTGCCTGGCATGCACTAAGTTCAGTCTTCAGTAGCGATGGAAAGAAATCCTGGGAGCCAGGCATTGGTGGCACACATCTTTAATCCCAGCACTCGGGAGGCAGAGGCAGGCGGGTGTCTGTGAGTTCGAGGCCAGCCTGGTCTACAGATCAAGTTCCAGGACAGCCTCCAAAACAATACAGAGAAACCCTGTCTCGAAAAACCCAAAACAAACAAACAAAAGAAATCCTGGGCTTTCCTATCTGATGATGAGCTTGCTCTCACTGGGCTGTTTTTCTAGTCAAGCAAGGCCTGGAGCTCCTTTTCACAGATCTTACCAATGAGGTTCTAGGAAGCCTTATTCTTCCTGATCCCCAAACCGCACTCCCCCTTCACAGTCTGACCTTGCTTCTGGCACCCTCTACTGTATCCCAGACAACAGCTTTCTTCACCCTATCCCTGGCACTGGATAGGTGGGACACTGCTGTGGTAGGAAGGTCCACGTGTGTTGGTAGTCTTGCCCTACCCTACCAGCAGCGTCTTAGAAACTGACTGGGGGAGGGTTGCACACATTGCAGGTGAACATACTGGTGGGAACCAGGGCACCTTCACTATCCAACATGGAGGGGGAGAGACCATGGCTGACTGCCCCATCGTCTTCACCTCTTCCCAGATCGAACTCCCTGATTTCCCTCAGTCTTCCTCAAGGCTCCTAGGTATTTCCTCCTACAGTACATGCACATCTGCTCTATTCCCTCTCCGGATTCAGTTTCTAGGCCACCCATGCTCCTGTTTGCTTTCTCCCAGCCTCCCGCTCTCTGCTCTTTCACTCAACTCCCATCTCACCTCCGATCACATACCTCGCTTCCTAGAAAGTGCCACCCAGCCCGGACCTCTGCGACCATAGCTGCTTCCCCTGAGCGCCTTCTCCCTACCTACCTCACTCCCCAGATTCAGACCATGACAACCCCCTCCCAGGAGGCCGGGATACTCCAGCCCACGCCACCCTGGAAAGACCACGCGGGTCTTTCCAGCCTGGACTGACAGGGAGCGTGCAAGAGGCGCTCGGGGCACACCAGCTGGAAGTCAGGGGCAGGTCGGGTTTGCCGGCCCTCCACACCCGGGATTCTGCGCTCGCGGTTCACTCACCGAGTGACTTCATGTAGTCATCAAAATTCTTGCTGTCCACTAGCTTCCAGGTGCCGACAAAGGCGTCCACCATGGTGTGATGAGAGGCGAGGCGTGCAGGAACTCAGAACCGCGGCTCCCGGCCGAAGAGCCTCTTTAAATAACCCTCGCATCACATGATGAGCGTGGCCCACACCCCTTGCTCCCGAAATAGGAAGCCGGGGCTTGCACTCCCGCTAGGATGCCCTTCCCCCCGCAAACCGCCGGGCACCTGCGGTCGGCGCCGTCCGTGGTCCTGCCGGTGCCATCTAGCCCGTCCCCACCCTGGCTGCGGGGCGCTCCCCGCAACCCAAGAAGAGCACGCACCAACCACAACCACAACCACACAGAAAGGAAACTCGCTCTTGAGCTGGTGCGACGCTGGGAAAATGCCGTCTGAAGCTTAGGCCACCTTTTTTTTTTTTTCCCGTTGTTTTACACTTATTGTGTGAGTGCGTATGAAGGCACGTGTATTGAGGGGGAACATTATAACTCGGGGGGATCACGTCTCTCCTTCCACGGTGTGGGTCCTGGTATCGAACTGAGGTCGCCAGGCTTGCCAGCAAATGTTTTTACCTGCTGACCTATTTTACCAGCCCTAGGTCATCTTCCTGTCGGAGAGGCGCGAATTGGAGCCCAGACAGCAAGCACGGTCTAGTGGCCCCTGAGCCCGCGTGCTCCTCCCCGCCCGCCGAGTGGAGAGGAGTCGCCCTGGACACCGTAGGTGGCTGAGAGCCTAGTGCCTTACCTGAACTGGATGAACGTGACCTTGTTTCCCTCGGCTAGCCCCACACGTGCTTGCCCCTCCCTGCGGAATGTCTCCTGCTGCCTCCCCCCCCCCTTCCCCCCGCGCGGTCCTGCTCCCCACAGTTCCCTGAGAGAGCTCCGGGCTTTTCTGACCTCTGAGCTTGCCCTGAGGTCATTCTATGCTTAGCTCCTTCAGAAATTCTGTCTATTCAGGTCTGGCCAACTTAACTGCCAGAAAGCTGCAGCCCTCTGATTTCAGTCCTTCCTCTGATTTCTCCACTAGCCTGCTTGTCCCATTAAAGCACTTTATTAATGAGACCCACTTTAGTGATGATTGTAGCCTGCTGCTTCAGGACCCGGTCACAGCGAACTCCATTGCTAGCTGGTGCTACTCCCTTTTTACTGGTGAGGAAAGGAAACTCAGTGGAGGCCATTGCTTAGTTCAGCGGGTTTCTGTTTAATAATTACCAAATCAACATCTCAGTGTGCAGCCTAGGTTGACCTTGAACTAAAGATTCCCCTCCCTCTGTCTCCTGAGATTAATGCCATGTGCCGCTGGCCTGGCTTTGACTCAACAGTTATTCAGGCAGCTACATAGGGCAGGATCCTGCCTCAAAATAAATTCCTGGTTTGTGCCAGCCCTGGTTTGGGAAAGACCACAGGGAAGAAGGTACAGGCTGAAGTATTCCCTTCTGCGAGAATCATGCAACTCATGACTAGAGGCGGGGCCTACCCTGACTTGGGGACTCAGGGCATGAATGAACTCCTGAGTGTTCGAGGAGTTGTTCGAGGAGTGGTGTGCACACAACTTCAACGTGCTTGAAGGGCGCCCAGGACGATTCAGGAACCATCACCAGAGCCCTGGGGCCTGACCAGTACACCTGCAGTGTGACAAAGCCTCCTTCTTGGGCCTCTGCTTGTTCCTGTGGAAGTCTCTTCCTTCTACCCCCTGGCTGTTCTAGGAAAGAGGCTAATGAGGAAGAGTCCTCTCACCCACCCCACCCCCCAGGTCTTGATTCCTTTGGAGACTTCAGTTGCCAGAAGACTTGAGAGACTTCATTCTGCCTACAGGGACAGGCCTCCCTCAGGGCTGGGCCTGGAGCCCTGGTGACCTCAGTTTAACAGCAGGTGCCAAGGGCAGGGAGGGGGCACGACATGGGCACAGGGTGGGAGCAGTTAGGGTTAGACAAGGCTGGCCTTGAACTCAAAGATCTACCTGCTTCTATAATCACACCTGTTATCCCAACACTCGGGTGTCAGAAGCAGGCAGATCTCTGAGTTCAAGGCTAGCCTGTCTACAGAGTGAGTTCCAGGACAGCTAGGACTACACAGAAAAAACATGTTTCAAAAGAAAAAAACAAACAAAAAAAAAAACAAAAAAAATGAAAATGCCTAAAGAAAGAAAGAATAGTTCTGCAAGGCTAGGGAGGCAAGATGGCTCAATGGGTAAGGTGTTTGCTGTGCGAGCATGGGGACTTCAGCACCCACATAAGAACTGGGCATGATTGCTCATGCCTGTAACCCCATAACCTCCGGGGTCAATATAGCTGAAAAGGTGACCTCCCAGGTTCAGTGGGAAACCCTGTCTCAAAAATAAAGTGAGCATCACCACCAACATAACCTTTAATCCTTTTAATCCCAGGCCAGAAGAGGCAGAGGCAGGAGGATATCTGTGGATGCCAGGCCACCAGTCAGTGTTGTTAGTGAGAGACCCCCGTCTCAATAAAAAAGGGGGTGTGGCGGGGAGTGACGGAAGGTACCTGACACACCTGGTTACTTACTCTGCTGCTGTGAAGGGCAGTGAGGTCTTAGGCCTCAGTGCAAGTAAGACACGTTGCTGGCATGTCCCTCTGCTCCTTGTGTTGAGCCCTGCCCAAGTTGAGCGGGAGCAGATCTTGATTGAGAAATTGAGAACAGTTACCTGTGCTGTAACTGCAAAGCTCTGGCCTGTGTTACTAAGGTTGATTTCTAAGTCATACATTCTTTCCTCCCACCAGGTTATTATCATTTGTATTGTTTGTGTGTGTGTGTGAGCTTCAGGCGTGTGTGTCCTGATATGTGTGTGGAGGCCAGAGGACAACTTTCAGAACTCAGTTCTATGCTTTTACTATGAGTTCTGGGAATCAAACTCACTTAATGAGACTGTCACAGCAAGAGCTTTAGTCACTGGGTCATTACCTGGTTCTCTCTCTCTCCCTCCCTCTGTCCCTCTCTCTCTCTCTCTCTCTCTCTCTCTCTCTCTCTCTCTCTCTCTCTCTCTCTCTCTCTCTCTCTCTCTCTCTCTCTCTCTCTGCCTGTCTCTAGTTAAGTACTCTCCTATGAGGCTGTATCTCCAGCCTTCAATTTTTTAATTTGAGACAGGATCTCACTAAGTTGCCCAGGCTGACCTTGAATTCATTCTGTAGCCCAGGCAGGTCTTGAAATTTCCTTGCCTCAGTTTCCCAGGCTTTGTACCACCAGCTTTGGCTCATTCTCCCTTTCTGTTTTTTTTTTTTTCGAGACAGGGCTTCTCTGTATTGTTTTGGAGGCTGTCCTGGAACTCGCTCTGTAGACCAGACTGGCCTGGAACTCACAGAGATTCGCCTGCCTCTGCCTCCTGAGTGTTGGGATTAAAGGTGTGCGCCACCAACGCCTGGCTCATTCTCCCTTTCTATGTAGGGATAGCATGTTTCTGAGTGTACACATTTTCCTCATCTGTTATGCTCACTACATCAGAGGGCGGGAGTGAGCCATGTCTCTTTTTTTACCCTTCCTGCCTTTAGTAGATCTAGATGTGGCTGTAACATCTGGCAGGCAACAGTGTCTGTAAGAGCAGCATCTCCCCAGCTTTCCCCTATGGTGATGTTACTATTCTAGGTTTCCACAGCAACCATGGGCTGGGAAGAAGGAAAAGAGGAGAGATGAGTGAGCAGGAAGGTGCCAGTGGGGTGGACTATAGAGTGGGGAGCAGCACGCTCCTCATCTCCAACTGTTTTCTGGGCCCTCCCAGACAAGGATGCTTCTGCATGGGAGTGTCTACTAGCATGGGGGAGAGCCTAGAGGTAGAGGCCAAAGAGGCTGAACCAGAGCTCCATCAATCTAGAGACATGGGGAGCCTCCTTCTGCCCATCCCTACTCTGTACAACAGAAGTTGTTATGGTAACAGTGGTGGGGCTGTCTGTCTCTGCCTGATGGGAGCCACTGGGTCTTAGCTCTTTCTCCACTGTCGGGCAGACCCTTTTAGTGAATGGCATGTTCATGTCAGAAAGAGGCCTGCTTGGTATATCCAGACCTGCCCTTTACTACCTAGAATATCCCTACAATCCCCTTGACGCCACATCTTCTCTCCCCTCCATAAAAGAAGGTCTTTGGATTCTCAGAGCATGGAATTAGAACAGAATTAATGGGATTTGGAGTATAGCTCACAGACAGAACATTTGCCTAGATTTTTGTTTTGTTTTGTTTGTTTTTCGACAGGGTTTCTCTGTATTGCTTTGGAGCCTGTCCTGGAACTTGCTCTGTAGACCAGGCTAGCCTCGAATTCACAGACATCTACCTGCCTCTGTGGCCACTGAAGGAAGACTAAACGTTGCATGCCTCTGCCTCCCCAGTGCTGGGATTAAAGGCGTGCACCACCAATGCCTGGCTTGCCTAGATTCTTACATTAGAGGGGGTGGGGAATGAACATAAATAAATAGAAATCACAACACATTAATATTCATTTCTTTCTTTTTCATTGTTTTGTTTGTCTTTTTGAGACAGGATTTCTCTGTGTAGCTTTGGTTCCTGTCCTGGAACTCACTCCAGGCTAGCCTTGAACTCACAGAGATCTACCTGCCTCTGCCTCTTCAGTGCTGAGATAAAAGGCGTGCACCATCACTGTCTGGCAAACAACACATTACTATTCAATGAATGGTAATTTCCTTTATTTCTCCCTCACAGGACTCCCCAGGATACTTCCAAGACCCTGAGTCAGCAGAAAAAGATGTATATCCTTTCTCACTGAGGCCATATAGTGGCCTTCAGAATTGTAGAGAAGTTTCCTCATCTTTGCATTTCTGTCTATTTAAATAGTCCTTCCTTCTACTACTGTTCCTTGAGCTGAGCTCAGCACATGTACACACACACACACACACACACACACACAGAAACATGCACACACAGGCACGCAGGCGTGCATGCACACACACACACACACGCAAGCACACACACGCGCGCACACACACACAGGAACACAGCCATGGAGGTGGGGGGGGACTGTTCCTTCTTTCCTTCTGCCACTAGGAAATCTGTTTCCTTGTTCCTCAAGAGTTCTGGAGCTCTGGGCCTGAGAGGACAAGTGATGGCAAGGGCACAGGTGCACTCATCACCAGTGTGCTTCTGAGAACCGCCCTGGGACAGGTGC